AAGTGTGCCTCCATTATAATATTTCTCTATGAGCATACACGAAGGTTATTATAGTACCACCTAGGGAACACTATCAGCATCAATTTAAAAAGAGAAAGTTATGCCTGACTAACATGACTGAGTTATTACGACAGGAATACTAAAGTATCCCTTTCATAAGTAAGTAAAGTTGTTCCTGTCTCCTGAGACTGATGGATGCCTACTACCACTACTAAAGCAATACAGGAAAAACATGGCTGCGTACACTGTAAATTTTTATATTATCAAAGCATTTGACACTGTTCCTCATGATAGACTGGTGTCGAAAAAAAATTTCACTACTGATTTCGTCATTAGATAGTAATTTGTAATATTTACAAATAAGAAACTGGAATAACAGAGGGTGTCATACCCAAGTAACAGACATGAATTTATATTTGTATAAATAAAAATGGAAATGTTCGTTTGTTCAAAATCGCTAATCTCCGAAAGTTCTTCACCAATTGCTTTGAAATTTTTACACAATGTTCCATTCTCTTCCGGCCACGTTTTTATGTACATACTTTGTAGATGTCACGTCTGTGACGGTAAAAAAAATATGTTTTTTTCTGAAAAACTGTGCTTTTCATGTGTTTTTCATGTGAGGGAAATCATCGAAATCTCTTTACCGATTGCTGTGAAATTTTGACACAACGTTGAATTCGAATAGGCGCGTCTTTTTATAGATCTATTATATACATGCCTCACCTGTGACAGAAAAAACATGCATTTTTTTAAAAAACAGCGCCATCTGGTGGACGTAAGAGCAACATATACTGTAATCGCCGAAAGTTCTTCACCGATTACTTTGAAATTTTGACACAACGTTAAATTCGAATTGGCGCGTCTTTTTATAAACCTACTATATAGATGCCACCCCTGTGACAGGTAAAAACATGCGTTTTTGAAAAACAGCGCCATCTGTTGCACATAATAGCATTATTTACGCTTTACTAAATATGTCACGAATTCCATTTCAATGTTTCCGATTGCATTGATAAATTTTAGTTACATAGATTTCGATTTATTTTATTTTTTATTGAATTATTTTGTGTGACATTGTGTTGGAATTGAGCTGTGTTGTTTACCATACCGTTCATTTCATGTGATGCCACACCTGTGACAGGTGAAACAATGCTTTTCTTGACAAACAGCGCCATCGGTTCCATGTAAGAGCAACACAAATGCTATCTATCTAAATAAAAATGGTAATGTTCGTTTGTTCAAAATCGCTAATCTCCAAAAGTTCTTCACCGATTGCTTTGAAATTTCCACATACTGTTCCATTCGCATCGGAGTGGGTTTTTATATACATACTATATAGATGTCACGTCTGTGATGGGGAAAAAACATGCTTATTTTGAAGTGTTTTTCATGTGTTTTTCATGCGAGGGAAATCTTCGAAACCTCTTTACCGATTGCTTTGAAACTTTCACACAACATTGCATTTGAATTGGAGAGTGTTTTTATACACTTACTATATACGTGCCTCACCTGTGACAGGAAAATCATGCTTTAAAAAAAAAAAAAAAAACAGCGCCATCTGTAGGACGTAAGACCAACACATATTGTAATCTCCGAAATTTCTTCACCAATAGCTTTGAAATTTTGACACAACATTCCATTCGAATATGTGCGTGTTTTTATATACCTACTATTTATATGCCACACCTGTGACAGGTAAAAACATGTTTTTTTTTAAAAAACAGCACCATCTGTTGCACTTAAGCGCAACACACGCTATACAAAATATGTTACGATTCCATTTCAGGGTTTCCGATTGCATTGATAAATTGAATTTTCATAGATTTTGATTTATTTGCATTTTTATTTAATTATTTTGTGTGACATGGCATTGGAATTGAGCTGTGTTGTTTACCATACTGTATATTTCGTGGGTATAGTTTATTTGTTGCTTTTTTCATTGTTTTTCATTTCATTTTTTAACTTCCTATTTTTCAGTGCAATTGGTGGTGAAATTGACCTGAGTCGATTGATCTGCGTTTGAATTGAAATATTTCGTTACTATTTTTTGTTTTGGTTTTGAAAACAAGAAAGTGGACAACACGTTTATTTCACAGCTGCAAATGTACAACAAACAGTTATGGATCCACCGGCTACAACGTTAACTGCTTTCTTCACGGTATGTCAAAATGAAGTGTTTGCAAAAACACTGCTGTATTCGGAAGTGCCTACGTATTACACATGGAATGCCAGTGGAAAATCATTTGAACGGCGCAAATGAGGAGAGCGAGTCGCCGGACAACCTGACATATTCACATATACTATGATAGGCTGACTGTACACCTTGCATCCTAATCATGATGAATGTTTCTTTCTTCGCATGCTGTTGGTAAATGTGCCCGGTCCAACGTCTTTCCAGCAATGGAGACTTGTCAACGGTGTAACACATGCCACTTTCTGTAGTGCATGTCAAGCTCTACACTGGGATGTATGCATTAATGACGCGTCCAACACATCACATCCAAATCAAATTCGTGCATTGTTTGCAGTCATATTGACCACCGGCTCTCCTTCATATTCTACAGAGTCATGGGAGATATATAAATCGCACATGACTGAAGATATTATCCGTCGAATACGCAAGGAAAATTCAAATATGAACATGGATTTCACAGCAAAAATCTACAACGCAGCATTGATATAGATTAAAGATTTGTGCTTAGAAATCGCAAACAAAGTTCTCAATCAATTGGACAAGCCATCACCGAATTGATCTGCTGCAGCTTCAATCGATGTAGAATTGCGTCATGAACAAAATTACAACACGCGTGATCTGTTGTCATATGTGCAATCAAATATTCCTAAGCTAACGCTTGAGCGAAAAGGCATTTACAATCAAATTATTTAAACTGTCAATAACGGGCTTGGAGAAATCTTCTTAGATGCGCCAGGAGGAACTGGTTAAACCTTCCTAATTAGATTGATTCTGGCAGCATTTCGATCCCAAAATGGCATAACCTTAACTCTTGCATCATCTGGAAAAGCTGCGACATTGCTACCAGGTAGAAGAATGCTACTTCGGCTTTGAAATTGCCATTGAACATGCAATTCATTGAAACTCCCACGTGCAACATTTCCAAGGCATCCAGAATGGAAAAAGTATTGCAGAAATGCTAAATTATTGTTTGGGATGAATGCATAATGGCCCACAAAAAATCGCTCGAGGCTCTTGATCGATCATTGCAAGATTTGCGTGGAAACATCTGGCCATTTGGGAACCCATTAATATTGCTTGCAGGAGATTTCAGGCAAATATTACCTGTAATTCTTCGATGGACACCAGCTGACGAAATAAATGCTCGGCTGAAATACTCTACTTTGTGGCGCCACGTAAAGACATTAAAATTAACTACAAATATGCGTGTCCAGCTGCAAAACGATCCATCAGCTGAGATATACTCACATCAATTGCTGGAAACTGGGAACGGAAACGTGCCGGTTGATCTCACCTCAGGACGAATTTTATTGCCTCATAACATCAACAATTTAGTGACGACAAAAGAAGAATTGGTTGAAAAAGTATTTCCCAATATTCAAACCAATTATAAGACTCACGATTGGCTGAGTGAACGAGCTATTGTTGCGTCCAAGAACAAAGACTTCTACGACCTTATCAATATTATTCAGTCTAACATCCAAAGCGAGGCAGTCACATACAAGTCCGTCAACACTCTTGAGGAAGCAGATGAAGCGGGTAATTATCCAACAGAATTGTTGAATTCACTCGATCTGCCAGGGATTCCACCACACGCACTGCAATTGAAAATCGGCTTGCCAATTATCATGTTGCAAAATATCAACCAGCCAAAACTTGGCAAGGCCACGCGCCTTGCAGTAAAAAAAATAATCAGAAACGTCGCAGAAGCAATAATCCTGACAGGACGTTTCAAAGGTGAAAATATCCTCATTCCTCGCATTCCTATTATTCCAACAGATATGCCATTTCAATTTAAGAGATTGTAATTTCCAATTCGATTGGAGTTTGCAATCGCCATCAACAAAACTCAGGGCCAATCTTTAGAATTGTGCAGTTTATATCTAGACGCGGATTGCTTCTCACATGGACAATTATATGTTGCGTGTTCTAGAGTCGGCAAACCAGACAATCTCTATATCTCCTCAGACAATAGAACAACAAAAAATATTGTATACCCACAAGCATTGTGAAATTAGACATATTAGAAACGTGCACGTTCTCTTTTCTTTCTTTCCCATTTAACCAGATTGAGCCACAGCAACGCGTGGCGGATACGGCTTGTTATTTATAAATTCTTTGTCATTCAGATACATATTATTCCTGTGGTGTTTAACACACCAATAAAAGTTTTGTGTGTTAAATATCAAGTGTTCCTAAACACAAATGTTATCTTTAAATTAATATAAATGCTTGAAGCAACACGGAAGGTGAGGAAGGCTCGCTACCGGAGTTGACATACACTCGCTTATTAACCCGTTAATGGTCGCTCGTTTATTAACCCTCTACCTGTCACTCGTTTACTTACCTTCTATGGGTCACTCGTTTATTAACCATCTTGGGGTCACTCATTTATTAACCATCTTCAGATCACTCGTTTATTAACCCACTACGGGTCACTCATTTATTAACCATCTTCTGGTCACTCGTTTATTATCCCACTACGGGTCACTCGTTTATTAACCATCTACGAGTCACTCGTTTATTATCCCACTACGGGTCACTCGTTTATTAACCATCTACGAGTCACTCGTTTATTAACCATCTACGAGTCACTCGTTTATTAACCATCTACGGGTCATTCGTATCTAGCGAGTCCACCTCGTTAACTCGCTATATGTGTCTGTATGGCCAGATGTCTACAGAGTTCAACTTGTATACTTAACTGGCAGGCACTGTGCTTTCCCTGCTGTGGAGGCACTGTGCTTTCCCTGCTGTGGAGGCACTGTGCTTTCTCTGCTGTGGAGGCAGTGTGCTTTCCCTCCTATGGAGGCACTGTGCTTTCCCTGCTGAGGAGCCACTGTGCTTTCCCTGCTGTGGAGGCACCGTGTTTCCCTGCTGTGGAGGCAGTGTGCTTTCCCTGCTGTGGAGGCACTGTGCTTTCCCTGCTGTGGAGGCACTGTGCTTTCCCTGCTGTGGAGGCACTGTGCTTTCCCTGCTGTGGAGGCACTGTGCTTTCCCTGCTGTGGAGGCACTGTGCTTTCTCTGCTGTGGAGGCACTGTGCTTTCCCTGCTGTGGAGGCACTGAGCTTTCCCTGCTGTGGAGACACTGTGCTTTCCCTGCTGTGGAGGCACTGTGCTTTCCCTGCTCTAGAGGCACTGTGCTTGCCCTGCTGTAGGGGCACTGTGCTTGCCCTGCTGTGGAGGCACGGTGCTTTCCCTGCTGTGGAGGCACAGTGCTTTCCATGCTGTGGAGACACCGTGCATTCCCTGCTGTGGAGGCAGTGTGCTTTCCCTGCTGTGGAGGCACTGTGCTTTCCCTGCTGTGGAGGCACTGTGCTTTCCCTGTTGTGGAGGCACTGTCCTTTCCCTGCTGAGGAGGCACTGTGATTTCCCTTCTGTGGAGGCACTGTGCTTTCCCTGCTGTGGAGGCACTGGGCTTTCCCTGTTGTGGAGGCACTGTGCTTTCCCTGTTGTTGAGGCACTGTGCTTCCCTGCTGTGGAGGCACTGTGCTTTCCCTGCTGTGGAGGCACTGTGCTTTCCCTGTTGTGGAGGCACTGTGCTTTCCCTGTTGTTGAGGCACTGTGCTTTCCCTGATGTGGAGGCACTTTGCTTTCCCTGCTGTAGAGGCACTGTGCCTTCCCTGCTGTGGAGGTACTGTGCTTTCCCTGCTGTGGAGGCACTATGCTTTCTCTGCTGTGCAGGCACTGTACCTTCCCGGTTGTGGAGGCACTGTGCTTTTCCTGCTGTGGAGGCACTGTGCTTTCCCTGCTGTGGAGGCACTGTGCTTTCCCTGCTGTGGAGGCACTGTGCTTTCCCTGCTGTGGAGGCACTGTGCTTTCTTTGTTGTGGAGGCACTGTGCTTTCTTTGTTATGGAGGCACTGTACTTGCCCTGATGTGGAGGCACTGTGATTTCCCTGCTGTGGAAGCACTGTGCTTTCCCTGCTGTGGAGGCACTGTGATTTCCCTGCTGTGGAAGCACTGTGCTTTCCCTGCTGTGGAGGCACTGTGCTTTTTTGTTGTGGGGGCACTGTGCTTTCCCTGCTGTGAAGGCACTGTGCTTGCCCTGCTGTGGAGGCACTGCACTTGCCCTGCTGTGAAGGCACTGTGCTTTCTTTGTTATGGAGGCACTGTACTTGCCCTGATGTGGAGGCACTGTGATTTCCCTGCTGTGGAAGCACTGTGCTTTCCCTGCTGTGGAGGCACTGTGCTTTTTTTTGTTGTGGGGGCACTGTGCTTTCCCTGCTGTGAAGGCACTGTGCTTGCCCTGCTGTGGAGGCACTGTACTTGCCCTGCTGTGGAGGCACTGTGCTTGCCCTGCTGTGGAGGCACTGTGCTTTCCCTGTTGTGGAGGCACTGTGCTTTCCTTGCTGTGGAGGCACTGTGCTTTCCCCTGTTGTGGAGGCACTGTGCTTGCCCTGCTGTGAAAGCACTGTGCTTGTCCTGCTATGGATGCACCGTGCTTGCCCTGCTGTGGAGGCACTGTGCTTGCACTGTTGTAGATTCACTGTGCTTGCTCTACTGTGGAGGCACTGTGCTTCTCCTGCTGTGGAGGCACTGTGCTTGCCCTACTGTGGAGGCACTGTGCTTGTGCTGCTGTTTAGGCACTGTGCATGCCCTGCTGTGGAGGCACTGTGCTTTTCCTGCTGTGGAGGCACTGTGCTTTCCCTGCTGTGGAGGCACTGTACTTGCCCTGCTGTAGAGACACTGTGCTTGCCCTGCTGTGGAGGCACTGTGCTTGCCCTGCTGTGGAGGCACTGTGCTTGCCCTGCTGTGGAGGCACTGTGCTTGCCCTGCTGCGGAGGCACTATGCTTGTCCTGCTGTGGATGCACTGTGCTTTCCCTGTTGTGGAGGCACTGTGCTTGCCCTGCCGTGGAGGCACTGTGCTTGCCCTGCTGTGGAGGCACTGTGCTTGCCCTGCTGTGGAGGCACTGTGCTTGCCCTGCTGTGGAGGCACTGTGCTTGCCCTGCTGTGGAGGCACTGTACTTGCCCTGCTGTGGAGGCACTGTACTTGCCCTGCTGTGGAGGCACTGTACTTGCCCTGCTGTGGAGGCACTGTACTTGCCCTGCTGTGGAGGCACTGTACTTGCCCTGCTGTGGAGGCAATGGACATTCAGAAAGTTTTCACCATGAGTGCAGTATCGTGGATCTCCTGAAGGAGTAGAAGTAAACGTTCATTCTCCGGGGAGCGTCATGGGAGCTGAACGTCTCCACCACGTTCTTCCAGCAGGTGAACACGCGTCTTCAAACGCCCACTCCCGGCACCCGAATCCAGTCACTTGGGCTGGACAGTAGAGCGACGGTCTAGCTTCATGCAGGTCCGCGTTCAATCCGTCCAAGGATTGAACGCCGGATTTCAATCCAATCCGTTCAATGTGTCCGTCCAAGTGGTTGGATGGACACAATTCCTTTACTCTCTGTACCATCCCAAATCCTTAACCTGATCCCTTCCCAGTGCTATATAGTCGTAAGGGCTTGGCGCTTTCCCCTGATAGTTACCTTCTCTTCTTGGCACAACTAAACATTTTGCGAGATTAATCCCTTTTCCTTATCTGTAGATAATTGGCTAATTTCCATTACGATCGGAGTCAGCATGTTTTCTCTGTTGACCCGGTTGTAAAGCAAGGAACCCGGTTACTAAGCAAGGAACCCGGTTATGAAGCAAGAAGCTCGTTATGAAGCAAAGATCCAAAACATTCATCGGTACGTGAAACAGGTTCACCGATGTTCCTTTAAAGTTTGTTAATGTTAATATCCCAGTATATTTGACATGCAACAACATGCGCAACATATTACCACAACTGACCTGCGACCTAAAAGCTGCCTACAGTCTGCTACTTAAATTATGTCATAAATATTGACCAAACCACACTAGAAAGCGAAGGGACGACGACGTTTCGGTCCGTCCTGGACCATTTTGAAGTCGATTGTCAAGTCACAATCGACTTGAGAATGGTCCAGGACGGACCGAAACGTCGTCGTCCCTTCACTTTCTACTGTGGTTTGGTCAACATATTTCAGCCACGTTATTGTGACTCCTCGTCTGCATATGTAATAAATATATGACGGCAGCGACCAACCTGTAAGCCAAGCTCGAGCGTTACCTACCAATAGTACGGCTCACGTTAGCAGGAACCAGCTGCTCTGTAGCTAAGCATTCCCAAATGCTTTCCCAAGCCAGTATAACTATTAATGAGAGTGGCTCATTACGTGAGTGAGCCACTCCTATTAAGAGAGTGGCATTGTTTAAATGTTTACCTTCTGATATAATATGTCCATCTCATTTTCGCACAACTGGTAAAGGAGGAGAAGCAGACTCGATAACTGGGAAAAAAGTAAATAAGAGAGTACCTAAAGGATAGAAAGCAAAGAGTCACAGTCAGAGACAAGGTATCAAACTGGAGGAATATAACAGAGTCACACAAAGTTCTCTCCTAGGACCGCTGCTCTTCCTAATTTATGTGAATGACTTACTCGAGGGAGTCAGCACAGACATTAATGTTTGCTGAAATGTTTAAATGTTTAAACTCCAGAAGTGGTCAAACAAATGGTTGCTGGAATTGAATTCCAACAAATATAACTCAGTGAAGAAATAAAAGGGTGAGAGGAGACCAGAAGAGACTTTATTGTGCAATATTTTCACAATAAGGGGAAAGCAACTGTAAGAATCAGAAAAATAAAAATATTTGGGAGTGGGTATAATTCTAAAATTAACAGCTTAGCAACGCATAAATAGGATAGCAGCGGCAGCATATGAGACGGTAGCAAATATATGCACATTATTTTGAAGCCAAAATCATGACTCCTTCAAGGCAATCTACACAACATTTGTTAGACTAATACTGGAGAGTGCAACACTTGAGGGAGCAGGCGACCAAACACATGGTACCAGCCGGGAGAAGAAATCCTTAAGGAATCAGTAAAAGAGAAAGATCTGAGGAGTGATATAATAATAATAATAATAATAATAATAATAATAATAATAATAATAATAATAATAATAATAATAATAATAGTAATAATAATAATAATAATAATAATAATAATAATAATAATAATAATAGTAATACTAATTCATTGTGTCGGGGGGGGGGGACATGAAGCCGGTGTTTATTCATACACGTTAGGCTTATATCGAGGTTTCTCCCACCAATAGGGTCGAATTACTGACCCCTTTCAGGACGTAACTCCACAACACGCTGACTAACTCCTGAGTACCAACTTACTGCTAGGTGAACAGCGACATTAGGTGAAAGGAAATGTGCCCAACCATTTCTGTCTCGCCCAGGATTCGAACCAGAAATTCTCGATTATGCGTAAAGAACAAACCAGACTGTACTACCGCGACCGTTTCACACCACACACAATCACACCAGACCTGTCCCTTGAACCCCATATCACGTTTGTCATCAGCGGCGTTTACAAAACCTGCCCCCAGAAACTTGTGAAAGGAATCATTCAGAATTTTGTATACCTCATATATCAGACCAATTCTATAGTATGTGACTTTAGCGTGGAGTCTACATCTACTCAAAAACACAGCGAAGTAGGAAAAGGTTCAGAGGTATGCCACTAGACTAGTCCCCGAGCTGAGGGGTATGAGCTACGAGGAAAGATTACTGGAACTAAACCTCACGACATTGGAAGACAGAAGAGTTAGAGGAAACAACCACTTTCAAATTTTTAGACGCATTAACAAGGAAGATAAATATATAATAATATAAAATCTATTTAGCACGGGAGGTACACGAACAAGGGAACACAGGTGGAAACCTTGTAAATAAATGAGCAGAAGGGTCGTTATAAAAAACATTATCATCACACAGCCTTGTTACTTAGCAGTAAATAGGTACCTGCGAGTTAGACAGCTGCTACGGGTTGCTACCTGGAGATGTGAAACAAAACGGAGGCCTGGTCAAGGACCGCTGGGACGCTAAGCACAGAAATCATCTCAAGATAACCTCACCCCACATCCACCACACCCATCCCACAACCACCACTAATACCACTCATCCACAACTATCATCTTTTATCCACCACTATCATCACACATCTTTCACTATCACCACACATCCACAACTATCACCACACACATATACAACTATCACCACACATCCTCCAGTATCACCCAACATCCACCACTATCACCACACATCTATCACTATCACCACACATCCACCACTATCACCACACATCCACCACTATCACCACACATCCACCACTATCACCACACATCCATCACTATCACCACATATCCACCACTATCACCACACATCCACCACTATCACCACACATCCACCACTATCACCACACATCCATCACTATCACCACACATCAACCACTATTACCACACATCCATCACTATCACCACACATCCACCACTATCACCACACATCCACCACTATCACCACACATCCACCACTATCACCACACATCCATCACTATCACCACACTTCAATCACTCTCACCACACATCCACCACTATCACGACATATCCATCACTATCACCACCCACACATCCATCACTATCACCACACATCCATCACTATCACCACACATTCACCACTCTCACCACACATCCACCACTATCACCACACATCCACCACTATCACCACACATCCACAACTATCACCACACATCCACCACTATCACCACACATCCACCATTATCACCACACATCCACCACTATCACCACACATCCACCACTATCACCACACATCCACCACTATCACCACACATCCACCACTATCACCACACATCCATCACTATCACCACACATCCACCACTCTCATCACACATCCACCACTATTACCACCCAATCTCTACTATCACCAAACATACATCACTATCGACACGCATCTATCACAATCACCACACATGCCTCACTATCTCCACACATCCATCTCAATCACCACACATCCACCACTATCACCACACATCCATCACTATCACCACACATCCATCACTATCACCACACATCCACCACTATCACCACACATCCATCACTATCACCACACATCCACCACTATCACCACACATCCACCACTATCACCACACATCCACCACTATCACCACACATCCATCACTATCATCACACTTCAATCACTCTCACCACACATCCACCACTATTACCACACTTCCATCACTATCACCACCTATCCATCACTATCACAACACATCCACCACTATCACCATACATCCATCACTATCACCACACATCCACCACTATCACCACCTATCCATCACTATCACCATACATCCACCACTATCACCACACATCCACAACTATCACCACACATCTACAACTATCACCACACATCCACCATTATCACCACACATCCACCACTATCACCACACATTCACCACTATCACCACACATCCACCACTATCACCACACATCCACCACTGTCACCACACATACATCACTCTCACCACACATGTTATTACAACACATCCATCACTATCACCACTCATCCACCATTATCACCAAACATACATCACTATCACCACACATCCATCACTATCACCACTCATCCACCATTATCACCAAACATACATCACTATCACCACACATCGATCACTATCATAACACATCCCTCACTATCCCCGCACATGCATCACTATCACTACACATGCATAACTATTACCACATCTGTCACTATTTCCACACATCCATCACTATCACCATACATCCATCACATTTACCACACATACATCACTATCACCACACATACATCCCTATCACCACACATCCATTACGTACTATCGCTACACATGCATCACTATCACCACACATGGATCACTTTCACCACACATACATCACTATCCCAACACGTCCATAACTATCACCACACATCCATCACTATCACTGCACATGCATCACTATCACCACACATGGATCACTATCACCACACATACATCACTATCACCACACATCCATCACTATCACCTCACATCTATCACTATCACCACACATCCATCACTATCACCACACATCCATCACTATCACCACACATCCACAACTATCACCCCACATCCACTACTATCACCACACATCCATCACTATCATCATACATCCACTATTGTCACTACAAATCCAAAACTATTACCACT